GGCCCCCACCCTCCCGCACCACCGGCAAGTTCACGAGCCTCTCACGATCAGCCACGGCGAGCCCCGAGCCGCGGCCAGCCACTGCATCGTCAGCGTCGTCTCACGTCCGCGAGCGCATTCCGCGCGCATCGACCATGGAATCGGTCGTGCCACTCGTGACGACCCCGCGACCAATGGCGCACCATCCGACGGTGGAGAGGGGCAGGAGCGCGCCTGGGGTGGCACAGCAGGCCTCAGAGGGTGGACCGACAGACGAGTCCCGCACGACTCGAAGCACGCCGTCTCGGCGTGGCGGCCCGCTGCCCTTCCCGCCCCCTCTGCCCCACCCACGAGGCACCACCCGCTCCACACAGATGGCGCTGCTGTCGTCCTTTTCAACCAGTGCATCGTCGCCGCCCACGTCATCCCTAGCGCCCCTTCCCTCACTCAGCGGCATGCAGGCCATGACATCGGCCCGCATGGGTGCCTCGCTGTCCTCATCGCTGCCGTCCGCCTCTGCCAAGGACGATGCGCCCAACCACCCAGCGGCCAACACGCCCACGGTGCCATTCCTGGGTTTCCACGTGCCCATGAACCCGCGGGCGGCCAAGAAACGGGCGCGGCAGCGGGCGCTGCTGGGGAGTGCGCTCGACACCGTGGGTGAGGGTGAGGTGGCCAAGCAGGGCAGCTGCGTGGTGGTGTCATCTGGCACGAGGGGCGGGCCGGAGGGGCTGCCCTCCACGACGCAGAGCACCTTGGCGACGACTACTGCGAGTGTGGAGAGCATGGCGATGCCGTCACGGTCCATCGAGAGCATCGAGTCGGCACTCAGCGAACTGCACATCACCGCATCTGGTACGTCAGTCAGAGTGCCTCAGCAGCATAAGATGTTGACTGACATCAATGGTCTCTTGGTCTCATGGGTCTGGCTGGTCTCTTTGTGTGTGGTCTGTCTGGCAGATCTAAAGAAGGCCGAGCCCGCCCAATACGAAGACTGACTGATCAGTGTGGGCACAGATGGATGGATGGATGGATGGGTCCCCGGGGGGTATGTGCTAGCTTCGTGTCTCTCTCGTGTGTGGTGTGCGTGGTGTGGCGAGGGTATGCTATGCTGTGGTGTGTGGGCGGGTTGCTGTGTGTGTGTGTGTGTGTGTGTGTGTGGCGTGGGTGTGGTGGAACGGCCGGCCATGACTGTGTTTCAGCGTGTGGCCCAAAGTGTTGATGGATGGATGGATGCTCGTGTGCTCCCTCCCGTGCATTGCGTGTGTTGAGTGTGCTTCCTTCATTCATGGGTGCGTAGAGAGATCGCTGACCGTACATACATACGCACAGACAGTGGCTGCCTGATTCCTCGGTCAGCTTCTGTGCATCGCTGGGCCCTCTCTGGGTGACGTGTCCGTCACAGCCATGACATCTGGCTGGGGCAAATGCGTCACCTGGAGTGGGAGACCGATGCACGGCAAGGACGACTGACTGACTGACGGGCTTGACCGTGGACACGTTGCACATCGACACAGAGAGACGGACAGACAGACAGACAGACCAGCCGGCTGTAGAGGCAGCTTCCCCCTCCCAGCTGGGCTGGGCTGGGAACGGGTTGGTGTCGCTTTTATGGCACACACGCACCACGCACCAAGGCAATCAAGACAGCAAGGGCTTGGGTGTAGGCATGCTTCCTTGATGTCATGCGTACATTCAATCAAGCACACCGACATCCCCCCGATCGATCCGTGAGTGAGTGCTCACGTGAGTGCAGGGCTGCGCTGCCATGTTGTCTTGAGTGCAGTGCATTTCTTTCTGCCTGTCTCTCGCCCCGGCCTGCGTGTGTGTCTTGCGCTATCATGTGTGTGCTGTGGTGTGGTTCGTGCCCCCCATGATGAGGGAGGGGGATGGAGGGAGGGAAGTGCTGACTGACAGACAGAGCGTGAGGCTGAGGGTGTTTCCCTACCGAACTACCTCAATGTGATTGATGTCCTTCATTTGTGTAGCCAGCCAGCCAGCCAGCCATCGATTTGTCTGTCTCGGGGGCGCGTGAAGGAAACGTGGCAGGGAGGGAGATGGGTGGGAGAGAGGCCACAGAGGGAATGTCGTCGATTGATGGGGTGGCATGGCGTGATTGATACATACCTCACCTCACCTCACCCTGTGTGAGTGTCCGCCTGATGCTGTGCTATTCCATCTGTGTCCTGCCGTGCCCTGCTGTGCCGTGCTGTGCTATGTCGTGTGTCTTCTCAACGCGCCCGCCCGCTCTCCCTTCCGCTCTCCCGCTATCCCTTTCGCCCGACTCGACTGCACTGCCCCCTCTGATCCGGTCGGTCCAGTCAGTCCATGAGTTTCTCCGTCGTCTATCTTGTAAGCACCGGTGACCTAGCATGCCCGCCTGCCTGCCTCTTGTCCAGTCCGCCCCCTCCCCGTGTGTACCCCGTGTGTGTGTGTATGTGTGTACGAGCGTGTTGAGTCATTTATGGCCCACTCGCTCGCCCAGCCTCGCCTCGCCCTCATCTATCTATCTATCGCATCAAACAAGACAAGACGCCACACCTGACTGACGCGACGCTTTCATTCAGTGACTCGTTCGTTCATAATCACATCACCATGTGGGTTTTGGTTGAGAGGGAGGGAGGGGAGAGATGGAGAACGAGAGGGATATCAATCAAGGCAGACAGACCAGGAAGCCAAGCAGCCACCCTGAGCGCTGTGAATTGTGCATTCATTGCTGTGTGGTCGTGATTGTGATGTGATGTGATGTGGTGTGGCGTGGTGTGTGTAGATACGAGGCCTGACGGATATCGCATTAATGCACTCACTCACTCAGTCACTCCTTCATGGGTACCCGCCTGGATGGTTCCACACACGGAGAGGGAGGGAGGGAGGGGAACAAGACAATGAAGAACGGGACAATTTTGTGTCTGCGTCTGGCTGGCTGTTGTGCTCGTGCGGTCTTTGTTTCGTTCGTTTCCCACCATCTATCCATCCATCTATCCCATCCACTTGATCCTTCCTGACTGCCTGTGTGTGTGTGGCTGGGAGTTGTTTGCTACTCTAACCCTCCCTCAAGCATCGCATCCATCGCATGACGCATCCATCCATCCATAGGTGCCACCACCACCCATCCGCCACTCTAGCTAGACAGATGGACGAGTGCAGCAACGGTTACTAATATTATTCCGGCTGCAGCGTCGGCGTCGTCGATGCAGTCCGTGCCGTGGTTCGTGTGGGTCTGATCGTGGCGTGTCGATGAATGGCGTGTGTGTGTGCATGTCTGTGTGTGCGTGTATTGTGGTTGGGGGTCGGATGGGTGTGGTGGTCCATTCCATGGCATGGATCCCATGGATGCATTTTATCCATCGCCCTCCTGCATGGCCCGGCGGCCCGGGCTGGTTCGGCCCGCCTATTTATCGCTCTGGTGGCGCAAGGCCAGGGAGGCAAGGCGAGGCAGCCTGGAGGAAAGCAGGGGGGGAGGGAGGCGGGCAGGATTGGATTGCCGGAGAGTCCGTTGGTTCGTGCTGACATGGGAGATAGATTGATGAATGAATGAATGAATGAGTGCTGTGTGGTGGTTGTGTTGCTGGGGTGGGCTGGCTCGGCCTGTGTATGTCTGTCTGTCTGTTCCTTCGTGGGCTGGATGCATCTATTGGATTCACTCATTCTTACCTGTTATGTCGTCTGTCACTGTGTGTGTGTGTCATTCTCCTCTCTGTCTGTCTGTCTGTCTGTCTGCTCGGATGGATGGATGGATGTCTAGCACGCTGCTGTTTTTACCGTATCCATCCCTACACACACACATACATGGATGGATGGATAGATGTGTTCATGTGTGTGTGCGCCAGCGGCCCGGTCGTCAGCCTTGCCTCCCGACCGCCCCGCCAGACCAATGGCTCTGGTGGACTCGATGGCTGGCAGGCTGGCTACTGCTGCTGCTGGCGCACTCCAAGAATTAGATAGATGGTGGTCTATGTGTGTGTGTCTGTGTGTGGTGTGTCCGCTCTGTGTTTTGTGTGTGTAGGGGAGGGGGGAGGGAGGGAGGGAGGGAGGGCAAGACGACATATCGCTGTACGCGTCGTGTATGTGTTGGTGTTTGCATCATCCATCCATTCATCCATTCCACTTGTCACACTACTTCCATCGAGGATGAAATGAATACACACACGCACATCCACATACACTCACACGCATAGCATGGACGTCCCTTTTCATATGGATGGATGGAGAAGAGAAGAAGAAAAGCGAAAGAGCCACCAAAGTGCTGAGCTGGACTGAGCTGGGCTCGGCTGCGTACGTACAGAGAGACAGACAGACAGACAGACATTCAGATACACGAATGAAAGGTGAGAACCAAGAAATCTGCTCCTTTTTTGGGCCGGGGGGCGTGAAAGCGGCGTGGGTGGCTGCCAGGGGGTGTTTGTTTACCGTCTGTCTTAGCCGTCTTAGTGTCTGGCTGTTTGCCTGCCTTTCTCTGCCTTATATATACAGCGCATTCTCCATCTCTCTCTCCGTCTGTATGGCTGTCTCTGTCTATCGACCGTTTGGTGTTTGTTTACGTCACGCCTTGTGCTCTCTGTGTCTGTGTGCCATGCGCTATGTGACTGATGTGGGCTCTGTGTGTGTGTGCCTCGCTCGCTATTCGCTCATATCATCCAGTTTACTCACTCGGCTATGTATGTATGTTGACTTGACGTCGGTGTGATGGTTGCATGTCGGGCGCCCATGTTTGAATGCATGTGGTGACCTAAGTAAGGCATGTACAAAGGGGGGAGGGGACTGGAGGGGGAAGTGCCTAGAATGTTTGGTCCTTTTGTCCCTACTGGCTTTTCTACCTACTGTCTACCTGCCTGCCTGCCATCTGACTTGAGCGCTGGCCCACTCTCAACCGCCCGCCCTGCTGCCCGCCCACTGGCTCTCGCTCGCCTGCATGCCTGCCCGCACGTGTTCTATGCATGCCATGCCTCCTACTCGCTCGGTGAATGACGACTAGCGTGTATGTGCTGATGTGCTGTGTGATGCGATGTGCATACGACATTTCCAACCTGGGATGTTTTAAACCTACAGAAAAGGGTCCCTCTCTGTGATGCCATCCATGGGATGTGTGTGGTGCGTGTGCGTGTGTTGGCGTGTTGGTGTGTGTTTTGTGTTTTTGCTCGCCTGTCGTGTCTGTCGCTGTAATTCCGCCCTACTTCCTGACTTACTGACTGACTGGCTTCCTCACTCGCATGTGCGCCTCGCCTTGCTTCGCTTCGCTTCGCATACCCCTCCCCTACCGTCAGGGGACATCTTACATAAATACCGATACATATACGCTCAACATACATACGTACACACATACGTACACACGTACATACATACATACATACATGCCTCACTCTCTCCCTCTCTGTGTATCGCATCGCATCGCATCGCACCCTGCTAGGGAGGGCACCGACGGACATACGGACAAACCATTTATATCATGATAACTGACATGCATGTGTGGGGTGGTGTGCGGATGTGGGCGGATGCGCCTGCCTAGCCTTCTGTCTGTCTTTCTTGGTTGGTGCATCGTGTAAGTAAGGGCCAGCAGACGTACCACACACACACATACATACATCCTCACAGGGCTATAGCCGTCCGTGCATTCATTCACTCATTGACCATTGACCAAGCAGACAGCCGACCAGCCGTTTTGTGTGTAATTCGTCCCTGCCTCCCTGCCTGACAAGTGCGATGATGGTTCATACCTACCTACATACATACACGACTCGCTCGCCTTGTTTCTTGCCGACTCCCTGCCTGCCTGTGTCTCTGCTGCACGGTGGTGCTACGCTAGGTGGTGGGTTATGGATGGGAAGGGATGACTGATGGCTGCAATGGACGGATGGATGGAGGGGGGACGCATCAGTCAGCACTTGATCGATCAAGGGAGGGAGGGAGGGAGGGTGGCCTAGACGAGGGAGGGCTGAGGGTGGGTGCGATAGAGTGTGGGCTGCGGATTTAGCTCATCAATGTCTATCAAATCGACAGGCTGGTTGATTGATTGCCTGCCTGACTGACTGACTAGCTCTCTGCATGCATGGATTGGATGGACGGACGGGCCGATGGCATATGGATGGATGGATGGATGGATGGATGGCTGTTCGGTGCGGTGCGCTGTGTGTGCTGGTAGGATAGACGGTGGGTGTGTGTTCAAGTGTTACAGACAGACCGACCGACCGGACCAATGCTGACTGACTGATGGATGGATGGCTGTAGACGGACACTCATCCAGTCCATAAAACACCTGTCGGCACGGCATGGCAACGCACACACACGTGCGGCTTGTGTTCGTTCTGTTCAAGGGGTGTGCTGTGTGTGGGGATCGGGAAGGCACTTGCTGGCACACACCATTTCACAATACGTACGTAAAGTGGATCACAAGTCTGTTAACAACACAGCATGCACCAAGGTCTCACTCACCATCACATGCACACACACACACACCTTACTGGGGGGAAAACATGAAGCCAGGCCAGGCTCCATCCGTCGAGAAATACGCGCAACTGACACGCACGCAGATGCAGCACAAGACAGAGAGAGACACCGCTGCGCCCACACAGAGGGTGAGAGGGGACACTCAGGGAAGGCCGAGAGAGACACTCATAAACACAACTAGTTGACTGCATACGCTCGCTAGTTGGTTGGCCCAAGAAAACTCACTGACCATGGCTGGCTGGCTGCCACCGCAGTCATGCCTGTCCTTCACACCGAGGAGAAACCACGCCCACCCGCCCTCAAAGCAACCCATGAATGAACGAACAACAGCCGCGATAGAAGGGAATGCGACGCCATCCATCCATCCACCCCCCATGTAACGCCCTCTCCCGCCTCCCAACCCAGTGAGTGAGTGGGTTAGTCCCTGACGACGCTGAATAGTCGCTTCTCGTAACTCAGAAGGTCGTGCACGCCTCCCTCCCTCTGTGCCGCCCCCGATCTGATGTCCATGCGCGTGTGGCCGCTGTAGAGGCCGTTGTGCAGCTCGGTCACGGTGTGGTTGCCCATGTCCTGCATGCCGTGCTTGACGCCCTGGATGACGTACGGGATGAGCGTCTTGACCGACCCCTTGTCGACCACAGCGCCGCTGACCCCCTGGGCCACCCGCACCTTGGCGTCCTCGGCGAAGTACCTGCCCTGCGACCCGTGCGTCATGGCGCCCTGGGCCTTCTCCATGGCCTCGAGGCTGCCCATACCCCTGTAGGTCTTGACACGCACACCGTTCTGGAAGTAGTAGTTGCCCGGCGCCTCCTCCGTGCCGGCAAAGAGCGACCCCACCATGACGCCCGATGCGCCCAAGGCCAAGGCCTTCATGATGTGGCCGCTGTTCTGGATGCCGCCGTCGGCAATGCACGGCACGCCGTACTCGCGGGCGTACTTGGCCACCTGGTACACGGCCGTCGCCTGGGCGCGGCCCACCGCACAGACCTCCTGGGTCGTGCAGATGGACCCTGAACCCATGCCGATACGAAGACCGTCGCAACCCGCATCTATCAACACCTGAATGAGGCATGACAGGACACACACAGGTACAACAGTGGGTGGGATATCGTGTGGTTCTTTCTCCCTCCCTCCCTCCCTCCCTCGTGTGTGAGTGTGTGTGTGTGGTGTGTGTACCTTAGCTTGTCTCGCTGTGATGACGTTGCCCCCGATGATGTCGACATCCGGGAAGTCGGCCTTGATGCGCTTGATGAGGTCGACCTGGAAGGTGGAGCTTCCCTGCGACGAGTCGATGACAATCACATCCACCCCAGCCTCGATCAGCGCCTTGGCCCTCTCGGCGTCCTTGGGTTTTGTGGACGTCGCCGCCGCCACCAGCAGCTGCTTGTTGGCATCCTTGGACGCCGTGGGGTAGTCGCGATTCTTCTTGAGGTCGTTGCGGGAGATGAGGGCGACGAGCTCGTGGTCTTCGTTGACGATGGGGAGCTTGCCCTTCTTGCTCTCGCGAAGGATTTTGTTGGCCTCGTTGAGGGTGATGGGCTCGTATCCGATGATGCAGTCTCGCGTCATGACCTGGGACAGCTTGAGGGACCGGTCCTTGATGAAGTCGATGTCGCGGCTCGTCACGATGCCCACCAACTTGGACCCGATCTGACCGTTCTCCGTTATCGGCACTGACGAATAACCGAACTTCTCCTGAACGCACATACACACACAGACACACCAGATGATACATAAAGGAAGGGGGGTGGTGTGCCCATCCCCTCTCTCGCTCTCGGCCTGACGCCGTGACTGACCTTGATTTTGTCGATATCTGTGATGGTGCTGTCTGGTGCGAGACAGAAAGGGTCCATGATGAAGCCGTTCTCGAACCGCTTGACCTTGCGGACCTCAGCAACCTGCTCCTCGACGGTGTTGTTGTTGTGGATGACGCCGAGGCCGCCCATGAGGGCCACGGATATGGCCATGTTGGACTCGGTGACGGTGTCCATGGGCGACGACAGGATGGGCGTCTTGATCATGATGTTCTTGGTCACGTTGGTCGACAGATCCACCTCGTCGATGCCGAAGTCGATGTGGCCCGGCATCATGATGACGTCATCGTACGTGAAGCCGAACACAGACGAGTTGAAGACCTTCTCAGCGTCCCAGCCGTCAGCCATGGCGACAGTCCTTTGCTCAAACAGACACACAGACGGGCAGATGAGGAGATGGATGGATGGATGTCAGACACGCAGGAACGGGGAGCCTGGTGAAACAACACACACATGACATGAAGAGAGAGAAGCCAACATCCACAATATGGACGGACCATGTGAGGTCGTGTCCTCGTGTCACTCATGTGTCCACGTGTTTCCTCTCTTGCTCGCGCATGTGCGTACCTGACAGATAGCGTCGCGCTCCTCTTCCTGGGATTCTGATATTGACTCCACGAAAGAGGACGGGTAGGAAGCGGACGGCGGCGTGGAAGTGGGACGGCGGTGTTTCCTTTTCAGCGCGACGGCCAAAGAAACCCTATAGAACCTGGGGCTTAGGGTTTCGCCCACGATCGCCTTTGGCCACGGGCTGTGGATTAGCTCGCATTGGCGGCAAAGAAAGGGGAGAAGAATTGACAGTGTGTGACGGCTTGAGCGCATAGGAGCGACACGTCCCCCGCTCGGCCAATAGCGCTCGGCAGCCTTTGGGACGCATGTCGAGGAAGAGTGACGTATGCCCGTGACGACTCCTTGACCTCGTTTGTGGACTACAGCTGACTACGAGTGACTCTCTATGGATCCTTCGGAGAGGTTCATCGACCCGCGCTATGCGGACCCGTTTTTCCGCGAAGGTCCGACGTCATCCGGCTCGTCTCGGCCCGCCCCTGCCCCGATGGACGAGGACACCTCCCAGAACAACACATCTGTGAGCATGAGCACCACGACCAATGGCCCATACCCTCACCTCGACGAACCGCTGCCCAACCCGAACCGACCCTCGTCTCCGCCTGCAGCGGCGGCGGCAGCAGCGGCATCAGGGTCTCGTCCGCTCTTGAATCAGCTGCCTGACTCGTCGTGGAAGGCCAGCCTGATGGACACGTCCATCTATGAGACCCACGGCCCCCCAGCACCCCTACACGATGACTATGACGACCAGCCCGCGCAGCTGCAAGGGTACGAGTGGGAGGATCGGGAGGGAGGGGGGGCCCCGGAGAGGCCGCAGGGGCTCTTCTCGCCCAGCAACCTTGTCAACTCCGCGCGTGGTGTTGTGGCTGGGGCCATTGGGATGGGTAAGAGCGCGTGGAACCGCTTGTCGGGAGGCAGCAGTGCCAAGGAGGAGACGGGAGACGAGCTGATGATGGACTCACACCGACCCCTCGAGATGCCCCGCAACGCATACGAGCCTCTCAACTACGGACCGCCCAGCGGGGCACCTGAAGCAGCGGCTGCGGCGGCGGCAGCTTCGGCTACATCGTCGGGGTGGCCCGGCTCGTCCGGCCAAGGGATGGGATTGCTCAACGGGACCGAGCAGAGCAGCCGTCAGGAGCCGGCGGCCGGTCTGGGGATCGGCACATCGACATCCCCTCACATATTGGAGCTGCCTCGCCCCTACCGCCGTCGGACGTCTCGTGTGACCCGCTACGTGTACGAGCACCTGTGGCGCGGCCGTGACGTCCCCAAGTACACCTACAAGTACGACATGCGGACGGGCGAGAGGTGGTGCGAGCGGGACCCCAACTGGCCGCTGACGAGGAACGAGGGGCCACAACGATACCTCGACCAGCAGCGCTTGAGAGTGGTGGGCACACAGGCAGGCAGGGAGGCAGGCAGGGATGCACATCGGTCGTATGTGTCCCTCACTGTTTGTTGTCTGTCATTTGTGTGTGTTGGATCAATCAGCACATCGAGGCGTACCGTGCCGGCTTGCCGCGCCCCGCCATCCCTGACGGGCTGCTCGGCTGCTCAAAGTCTATCCAGACCGACGTGCAGATCCCGCCCTCTGACATCTTGCCCCCCGGCCACCCATTGGCACCACCCACACCACTCATCTCTTCCAACCCCTCTCGCCGTACCAGCAAAGAGTCGGGACCAGCAGCGTCAGTGTCGTCGCCGGCAGCAGCAGCTGCGGCCGCTGCAGGTGGGGGGTACAGCTACAGCTCGTCACTGACGTCAGGTCAGTCGTCAGGGATGGGCTACCACCGGCCTCCGTATGCCGCTGCGGCAGAGGTCATCCCCAACGGTGTCGGTACGGCTGCGGGTATTGGCATGGGCGGCAGCGGTGGTGCTGGTGTGTTGTCGCCCGATCCGCTGGCCATTAAGGGGTCCGGTCGTCGCGGCCATAGCTTGGGTTTGTTCTCGGGGCTGCGGGCTGACCAGGGCGGCTTAGGGGGGTTAGAGAAGAGGGCGATGGCGGACCGTCCGACCGACGAGGAGGATGATCGACGCAAACAATCACGACACACAACCGATGGTGTGTGGGCGACTGATCGACCGACACACACACAGACACACAGAGGCAGACAGAGGGGGATGCATATTGGGTGTGCCTCTCGTGTGTGGTTGCCTCAGTCACCGACAGCGTATTCGCTCGCATTGGCACGCCCGACTTCGGCAGGGACAGGGTGGATGAGGAGCCGCCCGCAGCGGCGGCAGCAGCAGCAGCAGCAGCAGGTCCGGGTGCATCGGAGCCTCCCCCCTGGCGCCCCGGCATGACGCCAGTGCCCCGCCCCATCGATGGATTCATCGGCTCCACTCACAGCAGAACACAGGTACGCACCTGCCTACCCGCCAGAGATGCGAACACATGAATGCAACGCATCCAATCATCTGTCGTGATGATTGTCAGGGTCTGTCGACGATGGAGTTGATGCGGCGTCATGGCCGGTCACGCAGGTTCAACAATGACAATGCACTGGTGAGTTTGCGCGGCTCACCGCCATCCATCCATCCATCCGTCCATGGCCTGAGTGCGTGTGCAGGATTATCTGTACAAGAAGCGCAGGGAGCTGGAGGCGAGGGCCCGCCAGGAGCGCGAGAAGCGGGAGAAGGAGGTGGAAGAGGCGCGCAGGAAGGAGGCAGAGGAAATCAGGAGGAGAATCATCCAAGAGGAGGCCAGAAAGGTACGGTGCACAACATACACATGAATGAGGCCACCGACACTGCCCGATGCGTCTGCCTCTTTGTGTTGTGGTGGCTGTCCAAACAGGCTGAGGAGAGTCGGCAGAGGCCCCCGCCGCTGGGCATGTCACACACCGACCCGCACCTGGCCTCGCCCACAGCCCACTCACCAGACGACGACCGCCCCTCTCCACCCACCCCCACATTCGGCTCCTCCCCCACACGGCCCCTCTCCCAGGACAGCTCACCTGCCGAACCGCCACCCGCTGCGGCCGCTGCTGCTGCTGCGGCAGCTCGTGTGGTCCAACAGCCATCGGTGGAGCCCCAGCCTTCGCTGTTCACTACCAGTCCTCCCGGGAGCCAGCAGCAGCATGTCTTCATAGCCCCGCCGTCAGGTGGCGGCATGGCCCTCTTCCACATGAACAAGACCGGCGAGGGGTCGCTCTTCGCCACCGGTGCCGCAGCCGCCAGCGACAGCGACCAGATGGTCGACGCCGCCAACGACAAGAAGCGCCGGGCCGAGGGGGCGGCACACGAGGCGGGACGAGCCACCAAAGAGAAGAAGCCCGACACGGGCGTGGCCCCCCGGCCACTGCCCACACTGCTGCCCACATTCGGCACGACGACTGAGGTGCAACAGCAGCGGGAGGGAGGAAACGAAGAGGCTGCGGGTGCCAGGCCCGCCACTGGCGGTGCCTTTCCCGGCCTGCGGCCTGGTGAGCCGGGTCAGGGTGTCGCTGCTGCAGCTGCAGCTGCTGCAGGTGGAGACCAGAAGGACCCTAGCATATCTGTGAGCACGGGAGCCGCTGCGGCGCCGGCGCAAGCACCTGCACCTGCACCCGCACCTACGGCACCGGCACAAGACGCAGGTACGGACAAACGAACGGCACACACACAGACAGGGCGGAGAGCGAATGAATGGATGGCCATGGTGTGTGTTATGTGGTTGACTTGACGCTTGGATGGGTGCAATGCACTGCAATGCAGGTGGCGTGCCGTGGTGGCTGGCCAACGTGGGCAAGCCCAATATGGTGGGGGTTGACGAGGGAGAGGGAGTGTTCGCAGACGACGACCAAGAGGAGGCACAAGACGGACAGCCCAGGGCCAACGGTGTGCCTGCCGCGGCGGCAGCAGCAGACGAAGGACCCCTTCTCACCTCCAATGGCACCGCCCTCCCCTACACGCCCCTGCTGGGCACTGGCAGCCTATTTGGCACCTACTCCACCCTCTCATCCATGACATCCGATTCTGCGCTGCCCTCGACCAGTGGCGGCGCGCTGTTTGCGGGGGCCACATTCGGATCGGTCAACGGCACCACCACGGCTGCACCCGAGGACGTCCGTGCCAACGGCCTGCCGGCGAGAAATGACCTACCACTGTCGTCTCTGCTTGGCCCTTCGTCGAGTGTCAACATCTTCGCCACTCCCCCTCCCAATGCTGGTGCTGCTGAGGCAACGTCATCACTGTTCACCTTCGGAGGCACGGCCGCTGCCCCATCAACGGGCGCCGCCCCTTCGGCAGCATCAGATGCTGCCAAGCCACGCGTGAGCGTCTTCAATCGACTGAGCGAAGGACAGGCCCCCGCTGTCACCCTCACACCAGCGTCAACCGCAAGTCTGTTCGCCACCACGGCCCCAGCCGCCACGACCGCCCAGACACAGCCTGGAGCTGGCGGCCTCTTCGCGCCAGCCACCGCACCCGCACCGTCTGCATCGCAGTCGACAACCACACCAGCCACCAGCCTGTTCGCACCCGCCAAGGCGCCTTCTTCTGGCACAGGGGGCGGCCTGTTCGGTGCGGCCGTGGCAGAGGCCGCCTCTGCTGCCGCAGGGGCAGCGTCGGGAAGCGGGTCTCTGTTTAGGGGAGACGCGTCCACGGGCAGCCTGTTCGGCGGTGGCGCAGGCACAAGCAGCGGGGGGTCCGGCCTGTTTGGCGGTGGAGCTGCCGCACCTGGGACGGGCGGTAGCATATTTGGACAGACGGCGGGCAGCCTCTTCGGCGGCACCAGTGGCACGGGGGCGGGGACCTCTTCAGGAGGGAGCATCTTCAGAACTAGTGGTGAGTGAGGGTCATGAAGCGAACACGGCAGAGGTGGATGGATGGATGGCATGTGTGTGTGTTTGCGTGTGGATCGATCAGGCGTGGCGGGGTCGTCTTTGTTCGGCGGCTCATCAGCATCAACAGGCGGCAGCCTTTTCGGCGGGGGAGCCTTCGGCCAGCAAACCGCCGGCGGTGCTGCACAGCAGAGCAGCATTTTCAGCCAGGTAGGTGAACCTAGGTCAACCGCTCGGTGGATGGCCGTGGATCTGTCTGTCTGTTTGTCTCGTTTTCTCTCTGCAGCCTCAGCAACCCCAGGCACCTTTCGGCTCAGCGAATCCGTTCGGCCAGCCGCCATCGGGTGGAGCATTCGGGGGCGGACTGACTCAAGCACAGGTGAGACGTACGAGCGGCTCCTTCGCTTGTTGGTCTCTCTGACACATGCGCATTGGATTATGTGTGTGTCAGGTGTCGGGCAGTGGCGCTGCCAGCCAGTCGGCCTTCGGTGGCGGCCTCGGGGCTGCTGCTGCATCGGGCACTGCATTCTCGTCAGGCGCTCTCACGCCCGCGCCCAAACAAGGTAGGTCACATGACGCGTCACACCCCTGCGTCCATGCACCTACCTATTTACCCCATGCATTGTGTGTATGTGTGTCGGGTTGACTTCAGAGAGGAAGAAGCTCCGCGTCAAGCGCCCACAGAAAGGGTGAAAGGGTGAGGTGAAGGAAACGTCGTCCGTCCGTCCGCCCAAGACTCACTCATTTACTTGCTCTGCTCACCTAACTAACTGCTGACTGCCTCACTGACTGACTGACTCGTGTCCATGTGCATACTGCAGACACACATACATACAGCCATCCTTACATGACATGCATATGATATCATCGGTTTTGGCTGGCTGGCTGACTGGGAATGAATGGGAGGGCTGCAATGGCATGGCTGCATTCATTGCATACAGACAGACAGACAGGTGGCTGGTTTAAAGCAAACAACCATGAGTGTGGTGAGCGAATCTATCTATCTGCTGGCTGGGCGGCTGGGGTTGGCTGGCTAGGTGGTTGGTGTCTGCCTGAGGTGAGTGCATGCCATTGGCCGGCAGACGGACCTCTTGATTGATTGCTGGTGCGTGTCTGCAAACGAGTGATCCAGGACGGTACTGACTGCAATGCCACCGAAGGAATGAATTGCCCTTCTCGCCTCGCGAAAGGAACGCGAGCTAGGCCGCCGAACCAAGCGACCCTGGAGGCGTTTCTCTGGTTTGTGCGTCTCTCTGTGCTTCCCCCGTGATTGGGTCCACCGTCACCCACAATGGCAGAGAAGGAGGACATGATGATGGATGACGGTCCCGACGAGGTGGACGAGAAGCTCATCAACGAGGACTACAAGATATGGAAGAAGAACACCCCCTTCCTCTACGACGTCGTCATCACTACCGCACTCGAGTGGCCCTCGCTCTCCGTCGACTGCATCACCGGCGGCGGACAAAGGTCAGACACAGACCCAGATCTCCCTCGCGGGGTGCGCGTGACTGACGTGTCATGTATGTGGTGTGGTGTGGTGTGTTTGGCTTGTGTGGTGTGGCAGCCCCGCCGGCGCCGACTACACGATCCAGAAGATGGTGCTGGGCACACACACGGCCGGCGATGAACAAAACTACCTGCTCGTGTCCGAGGTTCGCTGGGAGGGAGGGAGGGAGGGAGGCTGGGCGGCGCAGACAGTGGACGACGATTTGGGTCTCTGTGTGCCTTCATTCAGGTTCGTTTGCCGAAGGAGGATGCAGAGATCGATGTGCGCAAGTATGAAACACACGGAGGTACGGACGGACGGCACTCTTTGCCTGAGCGAGGGGGAGGATGTACAACAGGCAGGGGATGGATGGGTGCTGTGGTGTGTTTGTGACCCATCCATCCATTCGTCCATCGATCAGACTACGGTGGGTTTGGTGTGTCTGGTGAGGGTCCCAAGTTCACCATTCTCGCCCGGATAAACCACCCCAGCGAAGTCAACAGGTGAGTACGTCAGCCATACACACAACACAACACAACACAACACAACACACAACACATCAATGAATGCACAGAGCACCACGCATGTCATGTCATGTCATGTCGTTGTTGCGTATGTATGTGTCTTCTCCCTCCAGGGCGTTGCACATGCCGCAGGATCCCTTTAAGATCGCAACCAAAACGACACAGGGAGATGGTATGTATGATTGTATGCATGCATCTGTGCATCTATCTATGTCTATGGGACGGGACGGGCCATTCGACGCGCAGCGCACACCACATGATCACTGATTGTTTCGGCTGTGTGTTGTTGTGTGTGTTCATTCAGTGTTGCTGTTTGACTACTCGAAGCACCAGAGCACACCCAAAGACAGTAAGCAAGGAAGGCATCGCATCGCACACGCGCAGCAAGGGCAGCACACCCAGTCCTGTCCCTCTCCTGTGTGAGCAGATACTGTGTGCCCCCAGAAGACTCTCAAAGGCCACCGCAAGGAGGGGTCAGTCACGTCACATGAGCCGGGCGGACACACACACGGACAGACGGGCAAGGCAACTTATCTGATGGATGGCTCACTCACTTGACTTGTGCATACATCAGTTGGGGATTGGCGTGGAATCCGTTCCGCAAGGGCTACCTGTTGTCTGGTGCTGAGGATGCCCGCATCTGCGTGTGGGACGTCGAGGGCGGCGGGACTGCTGCAAGCGCCGCAGCGGCCAGTGGGGGCAACGCTAGTGGCGCTGGTCCGGCTGCAGGTCAGTCAGCAAGCCACACAGCACAACACAACACAACACAACACACTCTGGAATGGATGGGATGGATGCTGACGCGCCTGTCTGGGTGTCCTTCCTTGTGCGGTGTGTATGCTCATTCATTCATCCGTCCAGGTGTGTGTGAGCCAGTGGCGACCTTCACGGGCCATGCCAATGCTGTAGAGGTCAGCCATGCAGACAGAAAGGCCGGCAGGCGAGCAGGGTGACAGTAGGACATGTGGATGGATGGATGTTTCAGGACGTGGCGTGGAGCCATGCGAATGAGCACCTGTTTGGGAGCTGCTCCGACGACAAGAAACTCATGATGTACCCACCCACCCACATACAGACATACATAGACACACACGCACATATGCACACGAGCCGCAACCAACCAGACTCAGTCTTCATGTGTCTGCCCGTCTGTGTCCATCCATCCATCCATTTATCAGTTGGGACATGCGGACCGACAACAAGGAGAAGCCCGCTCACGTGGTACCCACTCACCCACTGCACCAAGGCCGATCGACCTGTCTGTCTGTCTGTCTGTGTGTGTGTGGTCAATATATCAATCAGGTAGAGGCGCACCAGGGTGAGGTCAACTCGCTGACGTTCAACGCATACAGCCCATTTCTCATCGCCACGGGAGGCACCGACCACGTATATACGCCAACATACACATCACATACACACCGCTTCCCATCCCATGGCCTGCTGTGTCGATATATCGGTGTGTGTCGGCTGGCGCCTGCCTGGCTATGTCATTTTGTTTGCAGAAGGTGAACATTTGGGACATGCGGAAGTTGGCCAATCGACTGCACACCATGGAGAGCCATCGAGGAGACGTAAGAGCATATATCACAGCACATCCTGTCCTGCCTGCATTGTGCGTGCGTGCGTGTGGCTTGTATGTACTGTATTGGCTGTCAGATTCTCCGCGTCCACTTTGCACCCTTCAATGAGACCATCCTAGGATCAGGTAACTAACCAACCGAGGGCAGTGCAGTGCACACAATGAATGCAATGAGCCAGCCATACACGTGTAAGTCTGACTGTCTGTCTGTCCATCAGCCTCTGCCGATCGGCGTGTCAACATCTGGGACCTCAGCCGAATCGGTAAGTAAGTAAGTAAGGCAGGCAGGCAGGACGCAGGCACCAACATGACATGACATAGCTTGGCCAGGTCGCACTGGATTTGCTTTGTGGGGGTATGTATGCTCGGTTTGTTGTTTGGTTTCACGTGGGTGATCAGGGGAGGAGCAGAGCCAGCAAGACGCGGAGGACGGCCCACCGGAGCTGCTCGTACACACACACACACACACGAGTGTGTGAAGGACAGTAGAGGAGAAGTGTGTCTGTCTGTCTGTGTGTGTGTATCAGTTTGTGCATGGCGGTCACACGTCCAAGGTGTCTGATTTCAGCTGGAACCCCAACGAGGGGTGCGAATGGGTAAGTGGGCGAGGGGTGGCCGGCCGGCCAAGGAAGCGGTTGTGCTTGCAACAGACAGACACACCCACCTTTCTCTCCGTCGGTCGATGTGTGTGCAGGTGGTAGCGTCTGTGGCCGAAGACAACATACTACAGATCTGGCAGCCGGTACGACGGACGCACAACTACGGCAGGCAGTCAGGCACTTGATGGCGTGTTCGAGTAATGTATGTGTGAGTGTGTTAAGGCCGAGAGCATCTACTTGGACGACGACGACGAGGTCATGGACCAGCCGCATACAGAAGAACAGGCGGCCGCTGCTGCGGCCGAGGTCGAGTGAATTACCACCCATAGGATGGTAGCACCGTTGTAGCCTGAATCCCTGCTTGGCAGTGCCGGACTGACTTTGTCCTAGCGTAGCCTCCCATCCATGCGTCCATTATGTGCAGACAGAGAGACGTATGGATGGGCGGATGGATGGATGGATGACCCGGTGTGGTGCTATACATACAAACATATGATTCAGACACGACTGACTCCATGAATGTGCTGTCCTTCCTGCTGTGTATGGGGGCCGCCTGCTGTGCATGGGGGCCGTAATTCGTGGAGTTCATGATTGAAATTCTCTCTTTGTAAGCAATGTTCTCTGGTGTCTGTATGGTCCCGCATGCACCAACATGCTCTATGTCCCTACACTAGAAGGTGTCTGCTCCACTCACTCATTCACTCACTCATGTGTGTCAGGCAGGCCTTGGACAAGTCAGGGAAAGAAAGACCGCAGGTAGGTACCCAGAGCATCGCAGTAGCGTTAGGACGTGCAGACAACCCGCCCCACCCGCACGCACGCACACGCACACGCATACATGTAAGCTACACGCAGACACATAAAAGGAAGCACGGTGGATGGATGGACAAGAAATCGGGTTGAGTTGAGGCAGCAGTTAGTTCCACAGCACCCATTACATTACCCTCTCGGCTCCTTGGTCAGCCATGACCGACACCTGCACACACACGTGTGTTGCGTGCGCAAAAAGCGAACAAGGCTGAACAGGTAGCCGAGGTGGGTAATAACATTCACAGCGCACTACACCCATCCTCATTCATACCCACCCATACGTACCCACCGCACGGCACCCATACAAACCATCTCAGTCAGTCTGTGTACTGACTGACTGACAGACAGGACAGCCACATCCCATCCACACACATCCGCCCCCACATACATACACACATACATACATACATACAGGAGATGGATGTATCATATGGCATGCACATATGATATGCATTCACGCCAGGCGCACCGCACCGCCCCTGTCGTTTCAAATCCCCCACTCCCCCTGCCCTGACTCGCCCTGCTGGCTGAAACGCCCACCCCACCCCACCCAGTGGCATGGTGAATGGAATGCCCTCACCTCCCCCCCCCCCAGCTGAATGCATGGGATGCCCCTTGTCAGCTCAGTCAGTCAAGGGCCTCCCTAACTTCCCCCAACACACAGACATAGACAGACAGACAGACATGCACAGCAGCATTAGAGTGATCGGTGTCTCCCCGCAAGCAAAAATCCCAGCTCATTGATTCATTTCACCCCACACACCCCTTCACAAGACTGCCAGATGCATCCCCCAACTGCCCCGTGAGGTCATGATGTGGTGGCTGCTGCTGCTGGTACATCATGCGCAGAGCAGCGGCAATTGTTGGTGTCAGGCGTGGGCGCAAGCGACGCCGTCGAACCAGAAATGACGCGCGCTTCTGGCACACCTACAGACGCACACAATATACAGGTATCTGTTGATGTCAGGCAGGCAGGTAGGCAGGCAGCCCGGCGAGGCGAGGCGAGGCGAGCCGCTTACCAGGTACTCGATAACCAGGTCGCGATGGGTCTTGTTGCTTAGACTCTTCAAACAGGCATTACCTGAACCCACATGTACAAAGACGCCCACACATGCGCATGCCGTCTCCCTCTGTGTCTGCGTCCCGTCCCGACCGTGCATTCCTTACGTCGCTTGACAAAATGTTCACATGCAGTCTCAGCGGCCTTGCCGAGTGCTAGTCTGACGTCCAGAGTGCCGTCGTCGGCCCCCCCGCCCCCCTTGGTGGAGTGCCCCATCTTGCGGTCAATCAACCGCTGCCGATGCGAAGATCGGGCACCCACATGGCTGCGAGCCATCTCGCCCGAACTCGTGTTCGTCCCGCTGCTAGAGGTGTCGGCGAGAGTGAAGCTCTTGGTGTTGGCCACACCCACCGACACCCCCCCGACCCCACCAGCTGGCGGCTGCGAGTCTCCGTCCGGCTTGTCGCCTTGTCGCGGCGGCAGTGTGGCGTGCAGCCGGCTGGTGGACGATCTGGTGGCCCGTGGCCGGGGCGGCAGCCCTGGGTGGGCAGCACTGGCATCCCCCAGGGTGTTGCTCTTCTTGCGGCGAAGCACAGTAGGGGGATGTGGGGGGCGGCTCTTGCTCAGGGCAGGGGCAGTCGCAGCAGAGGCCGATGGACGACGACTCAACTCCAACAGCTCAAGCTGCATGCACCATCCACCAAAGCGATCGAGACACAGATAGTGAATCAGTTGCCAGGTAGTTACACCCCCGGTGAGTGGCTGACCTGATGTTCGAGCCGCTCTTTCTGCAGCTGCAACTTCAGCAGGTCCACTCGCGTCTGCTGCTCACTGCGAACGGGCACCCGACCCTGCCCATGGTAGGACGACATGGAGGAGCCCACCCGCTGCTCCTGACCATGGGCTGCTGATGCCTGGCCCCGCTGCCGCTGCCGCAGGTGCCCACCCTCCTTGGCACCTGTGGTGGCATCAGCCGCACTGGCCGGAAAAGTGCCCACATGCCGCGTGTGTGTGTGAGTGTGGGCGGTGACGGTGTCCTGGATAATCGGTTGTGGTCGTGGTGTGGCGGCTGTGGTGGTGTTGCCGTAGCCCTTTTGGGCTTCCTCCAGAATGAGGCTGGAGCCGCTGTTGCGGAGGCACGCCAGTGCGACCGTTTCGACCGCCTTGATGGCCACATCGACGGCCGCCAGCCCCACTTGCTCAAGCGTAATCGACAGCAGGCCGCTGTGTGCGAAACAAAAGATGGTCGTGTGAGCCGTTAGCGAGACGGGGATGGACCACAGCAGGATGAAGTGGCAGATGGTGTCCACCAAGTCTCCTCCATCTCCATCAGGCTGCTGGGGGGACGGCGCAGAAACACAGCCACCACGAGAGACTTTGGAGGTCGTGTAGATGGTTCCTATGACGCCCGCAATCGCCGCGCCATGCATGGCCCAACTCAGCCATGTAAGAGGCACCAGAGATCCCCTAGGGGCACATACCACACACAAGAAAGAAAGAAAGGCAGAGGCAACGATGGATGGATGGACACCGCCAGTCCCCCAGCCAGCCAGCCAGCCAGCATCAGGTCAGGTGGGCTCACCAGTGCAGCAACATAGGTGTGAAGAACCCGAGCATCATGGCGGCGTAGATGCGTTCATTGGTGGTCTTGAATGCGTGCAGGCCGTGTAGTCGCAGGATCAGGGGGAAGCTGCAGGCCCACTCCATCGACCGCAGGCTCATCACCGGCCGACCTGTCAGGTGGTCCAGCTGGGACGGCATCAGACCCGAGGTGAGGATCCCGTAACTCGCCGCACACACCACCTTGACAAAAAACAGCACCGCTGTCGCCTCTCGAACGAACAGCAGCCGCTTGTCCGAAGGGTCCCGGCGCACTGTCACGCCGGTAAAAATCATTGGGAAGAGCTCCATGGCGACCATGATGAGAAGTATCATGGACGAGAGGCCGAACACCTTTGCCAATGCCCCCGAGGACAGCCCTCTGTCGGCCGAGGGAGGGCTGCGGCTGGCGGTCGGGCCAGCCACCACATTGCACACACACACCAGCACTCCCCAAGCCAGCAAGTACGAGGCAAAAAGCCTGCAGACACAACCATCACACAGGGAGTCAAGGGGGGTCGTGTCTCGTGTGGCGGGCGCGCCTACTTCAGGTCACGCAGACAAAAGTAGGGCAGCGTGTCGTCCACACTCGCCTTGGACTCAACGCTCTCGCTGCGGGCGTCCCGCTCGACTGTCTTGCGTACGATAAGGGCACCCTCCTCGCCGCCCATCCCCTCCTTGTCGAAACACTTGGAGGGTGCCATAGGCGGCGCACCGCCCACGGTGGGATGAGTAGTGGACGTCATTCTCGCCATCCCTTATTCAAGCTCGCACCGCGGAAGCTGAGAGAAGGTTTCACGTAAAACTCTAGCCGTTGGAGGAGTGACCTGCCTCTCGCGGATACTTCGGTGGAAATCCGAAGTCCGGTGGAAATCCGACGTGCAGCTAACCGTTGCAGCCAGGAGGACAAGAGAATTCAGAGACCAAACTTTCACCAGAAGCGCCAAACGGGTTTTGCTTTGTGAGTTGAACGAGTTGATCAACGCGTCACGATGGCATCCATTCTGAAGGTGAGCGGCATGCCTGAGGGTCACATGGGAGATGCGCTGATGTGCTTGACCTTGACCATCTCTCCCTCCCTGCGTATGTGCATGGGTGTGCTTTGTGCGCGTGCAGCCAATTGATCCTGACTACACGCAGGAGCAGAAGGAGGTGCTGCAGAAGCAGACACTCAACATCTACGAGAGTGCGGTCTTCACGGGGACGTATGCGGCCATCTGGGCGGTGCTGCTGGGCAGCCTGCACTTCTACTCGGCACAGCGCATCGACCCCGCTGTCCACACCAACCGTGCGGAGCTCTACTTCTTCGAAATCGCATGCTACGTACTTGGCACCGTCGTCATGATGGAAGTAAGCCGGCTGCCCAAAACACAGGGGGGGAGGGAGAGAGAGGGGACATGTCTCGCCCACTGTGGACGAATGAACATCGTGTGTGTGTGTGTGTGTCTCGGTGGTGTGCAGTTGTTTCCGATGGTGTTTACGATAGTGAACATCTTGAAGCACCCCGACCACGCCCACCTGCACTTCAAGCTGAAGGTGTCGACCGTCAACGTCACCATTGTGAGCGTCATCATGACCTCGTACATCTTCCTCGCCAACGACATGGTACCCGCATTCCTCGACCCAGTCGTCGGTGAGATACACAGACCGACACACTCACTGACGCCAGCGAGCGACATTAACTAATGCAAGGTGTGGTGTCTCTCTGTGCGTGTGTGCTGTTCCGTCAGGGCGGCGTGTGTACGGTGGTCGTTTCATCGAGTGGACGATGGCCGCTCCCATGTACACGTATCTGACGGGCCGTCTGATCTTCAACCAGCCCCTGAGCAAGGTGCTGCCCCCCATGGTCATCACCGCCATCTACCTACAGATGGGACTCTGGTCAGTCAGCCAGCCAGCCAGTCACCTCTCACCCAACCACACACAGAGGAAACACCAGCCCACCGTACCGTGTTCTACTCACACACACTTGTCACGTTTGTGTTTTGTTGGTTAATGCATTGCAGGGCTGCAGTGTTTGCGAATCCGTTGATCCGCTGGGGCTGCGTGTACGGGGCGTACATCGGGTACTTTGCGTCGGCCTACTACCTGGCCCGGTTCACGGATGGCGTGCAGGACAAGCACGGCGACCTGTGGGTCAAGAAGGGCCTCCTCTACTTCACCATCGTCTGGTGGGGATCGGTAAGCAGCCAACCTCTCACCTCACTGACGTGCACACATGCGGGGGGTGGGGAGTCCCACCCACAATCTCATCCATCCATCATGCATCCATCGTATGTGGCTGGTGTGTGTGTGTGCAGTACGGCATTTTCTTCCACCTGGCTCAGCTGGGCATCCTGCCATCTGAGGGAGAGCAGCTCATGTACGTGAACACGCACACGTCAAGGGCAGGACGCATCAGGGCTGCCACACATTCATCCATTGTGTTGTGTCTGCGTGTCTCCCTGCCCTGCCTGCCGTGTAGGTACACCGCGATGGACAGCGTGGCCAAGATGATCACGTCCATCTGCCTCATCTCGCTCCGCAGTGCTGAGTGGGACATCCTGCTGCTCGATGCCCGACACGCTGCCGAAATGGCCCGTCGATCAGCCGCCTTCGAGACGCAGCTGCAGATGCTCAAGCTCCAACTCAACAACCAGATACTCGAGGGCAGACTCGCAGAAGGTATGTATGCATTCCTATGCGTATCTACGGGGTGGGGCCACACACACATGGGCAAGCCATGTGTATGTGTGCGTGCCTTCTGTGTGTGTATATGCAGAGGAGAAGGCGTTGGGCGAGGCCTCTGGCGCCCGCCAGCGCAAGTGAGCGGATGTCATGGGAGCGAGGCACGCCCAAGTCCGTCCAGCACCACACACAAGTCGCTGGATGGGCTGAGAGCGCGGCCACTTGGGAGAGCGGCAGAGAGTCCATGTGTGCATGGCATGCACTCGTCTGTGTGCAATGTTTCTCGTTGAGAGATAGAGGGATGGGGAGGGGAGGGAGGGGTGGGAGAAACGCAGGGGCGGGGCGTGCGAGAAAGACAGTCCAGTCGTGTCCCCTCCGTCAGTCAGTCACCTCACCCACGAGAGGAGGGAGGGTCATGACATGACTGGTCTGTCTGCTTCCGGCTGCCTGTCTGTCTGCGTGCCCCGCGTGAAAGTCAGAGCTCCATACGTACCTATTGGTACTGCCTCTGCGTTGTATTTTTACGCCAGCCGGAGAGACCACTCGTGAGTGAGTGGAATATCGATGGCTGGCGCCACTCGCTGCGGTTTTTAGATATACCAACAGACACACAGATATGGGTGTCAGTCACGTCATGCCGTGTGGGGTGGTGTGGTATGGTGTGGTGTGGCGTGAGTGCATACAAAGGTGTTTGAAAGCGAGAGCTGCCTACCTGCCTGTATGTGTTGTTGGACGAGCATGAGCGAATGGTGCACCATGAGCATATCCAGCATCCGATTCTGCTTGGCAGGAATCGGAGGGGCTGGATGGATGTGCCTCTAGCTGGCAGCATCACTCCCACGCCCACCGACTGACTGCCGATGAGCGTGTGTAAGAGAGCTTTATTAATTGAATGGTATTCGTCTCGGTGTAAACCGGCTCGTCCACCCACGTCAAGCGCACAGCCCACCTCCCTCTCCCTCCCTCCCTCCCTCCCTCCCTGCCAAACCCTTCCCTTTCCCTGACGGCCTGCACCAGTAGCGAACTACCCCGCCGCTCAGACCTCCGCGATGAATGAATGATACGTGGGTGTGCTGTGTGTGTTGGCGTGAACTGTTGCCATTCACCGACCGACCTGTCGTTCGTTGGAGCATCTTTCTGTTGAACGGTCTGGGGACGGTCCTGACCCACCGTCACCATCCCCACCAACGCCCCCAACACCCTCCTGCAGCAGCAATACAAGCAACAACACAGCTCATCCACACGAAATGCATCGCCGCCTCGTGTGTGTGCGTGCTGGTGTGTGATGTGTGGGTGGGCCGGTGGGCATGTATGTATTTTTGTATGTATGTGTATGTGTATCAGGGAGACGGTTGGTTGTTTAGATGGATGGAAAGAGAGACACACACATGGTGCATTCAATCGATTGGCGTGTCCATTAGGCAAGCAAAGTCTGATTGGTTGACACAAAACCGATACTTGAGAATAAGTCCGATTCACGTGAGAACGTGTTCAATGTCTGTGAGCAAGTCTTTGGTGTCAACGAATGCAAACATCGCGACAACCAGCACTAGGGATATAAAATGTAGGCAGCGATGTAATTTAACGCCCCCCAAGGACGTGACCATCAGGCTGTCATGGCGTCGGGCAGTATCGGGCAGGTGGCGCTGCATGTCTGGGTAGTAGAGTGGGGACGTACACTCCCGGCAGGGCCGCATGTGGCTGTGGCACGTACAGGCGTCGAAGGCTCATGTTTGCGTCCTGGGACTCGGATCGGACCAGTCACACGCCGCTGCCCCAGTCGTACTCCCAGTAGGTGTGCTCCCCCCGCGAGCCGTCAAACACCTACCCCTCTACCCACCCGCCTCTGGCCGCCTCAGCCGTGTTGGGGTGCGGGCCAGGCACCTCCAGGGCCATACCGGCCTTGAACACATCGGCGTGCTGGGCGAGGGGAGCGCGAATGTGCTGGAGAGGTGCGGGAACGAAGGCAGGGGAGGGGATCGGTGCTGCTGTGGGTGGGGGACCGGGCATGCGAGTCTCTCTGGGCGGCAGACCATCCGCCGGTGGTCCGCTGGTCTGCAGGGAGTGAGAGGGGCACCATGGGCCGGGCGGTGGGTGATGCGACGAGACGGGAGCGGTAGAGAGACGCAGACAGGGCCAGGTCCGCAGTAGTGGTGGATGTGGGCAGGCAGGCCCTCATGTTGGGGTCATACTGGGGCGGTCCTGGTGTGGGCGCCACTCTCTCTCTCACCAACAACCTCTGCTGCAGCTGCTTTGATCTGGGGGCGCTGGTGGTGGTGATCTTGGGGCCGGCTCCTCGGGGGTCGCTCGCAGCAGCATCAGGGGCCTCCTGCTGGCGCGCCGCTCTGTCGGCCAGCAGCTCGGCCTCCCGGTCGGCCGCCGTGTGCTGCTCCACCGCCTTGAGCGCCTCCACCTTCGCCCGCATCGCCACCAACTCGCCAATCAGAACGGCCTGGTCGCTCTGGGGAGGCAAAGCCAAACATGTGGCATGTTGTGCCTCAAACTCTTAGTACAGATCAACATTCACATACCAGCAGCGCCCTCTGCTGGATGGCGGCGGCCTCGACCGCGAGGGCCTCTATCTTTGCCCGCCACTGCGCAATTAAAGGCTGAAGGAAACAAAGAACAAGTGACAAAGTGCTGTCTGTGTTGATGGGTGTCACTTGCATACCCCTTGCTGGCGCCTCAGTTGCTCCCTGTACATCTCCCTCAGGTGCTCCCCCTCCTCGATTGGCATGTCCTTAGGTGCTCCCCCTCCCTCAGGCGATGCGGCGCTCGACTTCCTACAACACAGACGCCAACTGCTTTCCAATTGTGTGACGTGAATGGCAAGAGCTTACCCCGGGGAATTGGTGTGAAGCACCCGCATTGTGGCCGCATCCTCCAGCAAGAGAGCGAAGAATGTCCCAAATGATGGTCTTGCACTGGCCCTCCGGAACCGCCCCGCCGTCCATCATGACCTGGATGAGGCTTGGGCCGGTGCATCGGTCCAAGACCAGATGAAATGAATCCCTGTCTTCGAGCGCCAGGTGGAAGGGACAGGCGAAAACCTCACGAGTGTGGCGCTCGTTTGCATGCCACCTGCAATCGGTGCACAAGCAAACCATCAACCAAGTGTGGTTCGCTTCGGCCGACGTGACTGACCTCTGTCCCTCCCTTGTCAATTGCCATCGACGCGGCACACGGCCTCCGTGGCCCTTGCCGTGCTCTCTGTAGGTACCTGATCTGTTGGAGATAGCTCGTCTGGATCTGGTGGCGAAAACGAGCTCTTCATCCTCTGCATTGCAGGCAGTCCGCCACATAGACAGGCACTCCACACAGACACCCAATCGACCAATCGACCCCACCCGGACGCACCGACCTGCTCAAAATAAGATCGTGCTTCCACTATCTCGGCTTGCGTTGGTGGGTCGCTCGGCGGGACGAAGTCCTCGAACAACTTCTTGACTCGCTACTTGCAGATGGCGTAGCGGGCGACCTCCAGGGCATCATCCATGCCCTTGAAGGTGCCGCAGTCCTCCGGCCAAAGCTGCATGACCTTATCGGAGACACGCGCCACGACTGGCTCCACGTAGCGAACAATGGCTTCGAAGCGGGGCAGTGGGAAGGGGCAGGCGCCTGCTCACACACAAACAGGCCCATTCACCAACTAACTAACCTCTTTCTCCCCTGTTCACACACTCACCAATGAGTGTCAAGAGAGCTTGCGGAAGTAGTCGACGGTGACAGGAGACTGGAGCACGCTGCAAGGGTGTTGTCCTTTCTCTTTCATGTCCAGTCTCGTGTGCTGGGCAACGATTACCCCCATTTCGGGTGTCCCGGCAAGCGGCTTGCCTGCCACTGTCTGGCCGATCCTGTCCTGCTCCTTCGGGTCGAAGAACAGATACGCGACGAGGCGGTGGTTATCTGTGCAGAAGGCCGGGACGGCGTGGGTGCGGCTGAGAGTCTTGGCCTCTTCCAGGCCAGACGGGCACCGAGGGGATGCCGGTTTTCAGCAAGCGGTCTCTTTTGCGGGAGGAGGTCATGGGGTTGGCGGTCTCCTAGTGGAACAGATAGTCGCTCCCCACATGGTCGGTGCCGGCCAACCTCACCTTCAGCGCTCGTCTGCGGGCCCAGAGGCTGAGGATGTGACCCGCCTGCAGCATGCGCAGTTGGATGACGACGGTATCTGCCACACTCAAAGCGATTGAACTTTTCCTTAACCTCCTCCACGACGGCGTCCCAACGGAAACAGTGGCGGGCGGCCTGAACACGCACGGTAGACAGCACGGTAAGCAGCAGACAGCCAGCAATGCTTCGTTTCATCATGCATGAAGGGGGACCCCGGGGTCCCCCTTCATGCATGACCTCGTCAGGCGCCGCACAAGGCGCGGATGGCCTCGTTCTGGCCTGATGAGTTGGGGTCCTGATTGTAACGAAAGGTTGCCGGCCGTCTCTCGTCGCGAAAATCTCGACTGCGAGCTTGACTTGCATGTCCCCTATTTCCCCTCCTTCGCGTCATCTCGCCATTGGGGATCACACACAGGTAGGAAGGCTGCATGAAACTGCATCCGCTTTGTTGGTTGGCGTCAAATTAATCCTCCTTCTCTGCGTGTATAACTACTCTGACGCCACCTCTGCGTGTGCAGTATATGGCATGTCTCAGGTCTCAGTTCAATGGCGGTTAGCAAGCCAGGCAAAACGCCAATGTCCGGAACATGTTCGTACATTGTTGCCATTATTTGTGTGAGTGGGAAAGGTATGCGAACACGCACTGGTTTTCATTGTTGCCAAAGTGGATGGATGCAATTATGTTGCTGTGGGCCATTCTTAGGTGTCTTCTGCATGTCTCGCTGTCTTTTGTGGTGTTTCTGACTGCGCGGGTGCACTATCACTTGTAGACTGCCTTGCTTGCCCTGCCTGATGATCGTCTGTAGCCGTTGGCTGGCTGCTTGTCTCGTCTGTTTTCTCCTCCGTCTCCATGCGTGTTGGCGGCTTCCCATGACATGTCTTGGTGGCGTAGATGAAGTAAGAGGTGCCTGACAAACATCCATGTGTGCAGTGAGTGCATGGAACATTGAGTGAGTGGGTTATCGTTATGTAGGCCTGTAGCTCACCCGAGTGTCTTCTTTCGCACCTGATGACCTCCAGGCCCGCCTGACGCACTATCTGGTCGATCGGCCTGGACACCACACAACACCACACAACCGATGGATGGTATGAATCAACCACTCTTCCCATATATGCGTTTCGCTGTCGTCATATAGTCACCTGACCTGTTGTGATAGCATGCATATTTGTGGACGTGCTCGGCCAGCAACTTGTCGAGCCGCATATTCATCCAATTCCAGGTGCCACAACCGTGCTCAAGCAGCAATACCGATCCCTTGGGCTTCAGGACCTACACCCACAGACACACACCACCACACAGACACACACCACACGGGCATCACCCATGGGGGGACCCAATCGCATTCCTTTGGTTGTCTTTGACATACCCGCGCCATCTCGTTGACGCTTTCAACTGGCTTCTCAAAAGAGCAGATGCCTTCCAAAGCAAGCAACACGCAGTCACGCAATGCGGGCAAAGAGAACTCTTGTGTGTGGTCCATTTAGCTCGAACACGTCGCTCCCTACCGAACGTGTCGACGACAGTGTCGAACGTGTCGTCTGGGAAGTCCAAGTGCAGTATGTCGGCAACCTCAAACTGCACGGGGATGGCCTGATGAATGTATTCTGTGGAAACAAACACACACAAACAACGCATCGCATCGCATCGCATCGCATCCAGGGACCACAACAGTAGATAGATAGAGAGGGAGGGGCAGGCCGGTTGGGTTGCTCACTTCTTTTTGATGCCGCTACATCAAGCATGCCCTCACTGAAGTCCACTGCCTAGTCACCGGCGGGGGAACAGACAGACAGACAGACACACACACAAGCCAGGCAGGTTTCATTCATGAGCCTGACAAAGTGACTGACTGCCTCGTGGCTGCCAGCCCCCACCACGATGCTTTTGACTTTGGTGTGGTCATAGAACTGGAAGTTCCTGCCCGTCCCGACGGCCACCTCCAGCACGTGGCCGTACGCCCGGCGAATCACCTCGAACCTCCAACTCGTCAAACTCATACTCTGCAATGCAGCCACCGCACCGCACCGCACCCAGCACAAGAAGAGATGGACAGACACATACAATCAATAAATGGCCCATGTGGCTCTGCACTGTTGTCTTGTGCTCTGCGGTGCCACCCCGTGCCTACGAGTTCATCCCAGAAGACCATGGCATCCCACCCCCTCGCTCCCTCGTCGAATATCTCGCGACGCTCGGCCTCTGAAACGCCCAACACACCAACAGAAGACACATGAATGAATGAATGAATGGATGGACGCATCCATCCGCCTCACAGCGGCGAGGTCAGCTGGCCGGACCTGTCGGGAGGGGTTTGCCTTTAGCCTTCCGCCTCATCTCTCGTCGATTCTGCCACGTCGATACTGATAGCAGCATGCACAGAAACACTTGCACAATTCGTTCATCTCGGACGCACCCGATCTGTGCACTTACGTCCCATGACGGCGATGATGGACAAGGGCAGAGAATGCCACAACGAGATGCTCTTACGGTTCATGCTTCAGTGCACCATGTGCAGAGGCCTTCGCGCCCTTTCAAGAAAAAGAACCAGCTCAGGGATTGGAGTGATTGCATGATAAGACACACGTGTGCGTGTGTGTGTGTGCAGGAGATCATGCCTGATGAATCGACGAGTGTTGCATCGACAGGGTTTTGGGATTCAGGGTTAGGGTCCTGTGCTGGGAAATGAAGACAGCTATGCTTCAAAAAGCCATGGTGGTGCCTCTACGAGCCTTTCGCCCTTCATCTGGGATGGTCTTTCTGCGGGCCGACTTGCAGCGTCGCTGTTTCGTGGCCAACACTGGCGAGTGGGAGGGGCGTCGGAAGAAGCTGCTGTACCGCAGCAAGCAGCGGGGATGGCTTGAGCTGGATGTGCTGATGGGATCCTTCGCGGACAAGTACCTGGGCAGCTTCAGTGAGCAGCAGCTGGACCAGTTCGACAAGCTCCTGGACTGCGAGAACCCCAACCTGTTCAAGTGGCTGAGCGGCCAGGAGGAGGTGCCCGTCGAGTGGGCCAATCATGATGTCTATCGGCTGCTCGCCGCTTATGTCAGAGATGAGCATCCGCACATAGCCAAAGCCAGAGAACAGGGCAAGTGAGAGCGGTCGATGCAGGTAAATAGATGCAGACAGATGGGGGCAAGGAGGAAGGGCGGAAGACAGAGGAGACTGACGCAGTCAGCCCTACATTCTCTTGCTCATGTGTCATCCATGCCGGGGGTGACTAACTGTGTGAATGAATTACCAAATGGTTCGTCTGTAGTGCCGGAGGGGCGTGTCTTTATGTATGTATGTGGCAAGATCTCATGTTGTGTGTGTAGACCTTTCTGTGTATGTGTTTCCGATCTCTCTCATTGATCTGCTTCAGAAGATTGACAAACTCAAGGGGGGCGAGGCCGTCACATCTTGAGTTGTGAGAACCAAGAAGATACTTCACAACCCAGACACATGACACAAACATTCACGAACACACGATCCAAATGTCATTCAGTTGTCGTCACTGACACATCAGATGCCCTCACCGTAGCCGTTTGCATTGAGGCATCAATCAAACATGTGCCCCCCGCTCCCCCAGGTGGAGGGAGTGCAAGCAACTCGACTGGAAGCACAGAGAGGCCGCACACAAGATCGCATGCGCGATGGCGCCTAGCGGAATGCGTTCATCAGCTGCCATCCACCCATCCGCGCCTGCTGACACGACCGACAAATAGACTGTATCATCGAGTCCACGCAATAGAGCCCCTCGACGCACGCACGAGTCGAGAAAAACGCCAAGCCGTTGCGATTCCCTTGCTCTTGCCCCTCCAACGGCTTGGCCGACGACACCCGATCTGCACGACTGACAGGGAGACAGGAGAAAAGGGAGAATTCGTGTTAGGTGTGATATTCAACGCGAAAAATGCAATATATACGCGCACTGCACACGCTGAGTTGTCTTGAGAGGTCTAATCACACGAAGGCCATAGTCTTCGCTCCCGCACGCGCGGCTTCCCCCTTCCCCCCACGCACATTTGTTTGTTCCATCCATCGATTCGTTGTGCCGTGTTGCCGTCACACTTCTTCGTGTTCGTGCTTTTCTCCCGTCATACAGTAATACTCCCCTCCCCTCGTCGGCATGTGCAAACGCTCGTGCCGCCCAACCTGAATAGAGCCGTTGAACACATCCATTATTCTGTGCACTTGACTCCCCTCTCACTCCCCTCTCCACTGACCTTATCTTTGATCATGGATGATAATGGTGTGGGAGGACGATGCACCGTGCCTCCTCGTCAGGCCACCCTGATCCTCCACAGTCCATCCTCCACAGCTGCTGTTGTTCTTGTAGAGCCACTCATGCTTTCTCCCACTTGAATGCAATCCATTCGGAAGGAGAAACAGCTCGCATTGATTGCTTTAAGCTCGCACTTTGAATGGAAGATCTCCATCGTTTGAGTGATGGCCTTATCCATTCTCAAGTGAGAAGCAGGGGAGCAAAATAAGATTGAAATAAGCTTGGTTTTTCTGCTTGTGTTGCAGGAGCACCTTTTCGTCCCTTCAGAAGTTAGCCACCCGGCGGCAGAAGGAGCTGCGGGATGAGGTACTCACGCAGGCAGCAGGCATCCTGTGGATCCGCGTGTGTGTATTGGTCTGCCTGGCTGTAATCCAGTGTCAAAGGTGCTTGGAGAGGCTCAAGGCACTTGAAGAGGAGCTCACCGATGAAGGCCGGCCCGCAGGAGAGGAAGAGGGGGAGAGGGACGCGCCGGCTGGCGAGGCGAGCGGTGCCGTCATGTCAGCCTTGTCGGTGCAGCTCTATGCAAGTGCAGAGGACCTCTTCAAGCCCTTCCAGATGGCATGTGAAAGCAATACGGTCAAGCTGGTCCTCATCGCTCTTGACTCGATCCAAGTGAGTCTCTACTAGCTGCTTGACTGACTGTCGGGCCGGTCTGTCACTGATTGTCTTGCCTCAGAAGCTGTTGGTGTACGGTTTCTTCTCTGGCCCGCTGAAGGAGAAGCCTGCGGACGTGGAAGCAGAGAAGGATGGCAAGCATGGCAGCGCCGCAGCCGCCCATCAAGCAGAGGGTGATCGCAGCAGACATGGCTGGGGCCATGAGGCCCCTCTTCTGCTCATTGACAAGGTCGTCAAGGTCATCTGCGCGTGTTCGGAGCTGCAAGACGACGCCGTGCACCTCCAGATCATCCGCTGCCTTCTCACGGCGGTCACGACCACGACCACAGCCCCGACAGTGCCGCTTCTGACATCGTCGGACACGGGCGAAGACAGGAGTACCAGGACTGTCATCAACGGAACAGGAGCGGGCACGACGGGCATCCCCGGCGCAGTCAGCCTCGGCACCAACATGAACATCAGTATTGGTGTCGGCTCCAACCACGTCCACGGCCCTTCCCTCATGAAGGCGGTCCAGACGATATTCCAGATACACAGGGACAGTCGAGACGTGCAAAACCAGCGGACGGCCCAGGCATCCCTTACGCAAATGCTCAACGTCGTTATGAGCCGGATGGAGTTCTCGTCCTCGGCAAAGCCACCACTGGTGTGGGAGCCGCTCAAGCGCCCAGTCGGAGATGTCTTGCATGAGGGAGGCGATGCTTCACCCCAGCCCGATCCGGAGCTGCTTCTGAATGAGTGGCTTCGCTCCCACCTGACCAAGCTCGTTGACGATGTCTGTCGAGCGAATCCGCCAACAGCAGAAGCTGCCGGAACCGCAGCGGACGGCGAAACACCGACAGGCGAGGGCGTGGGGGAGGCAGCAGCCAGCGAAGGAGCGAGACCACTCCTCAACGAGCTCGGCTATCCCTGCGGGAAGTTCGGTAACAGACGCATGTGTGTGTTATCTCCCTTGAATGGCGTCCGTCTGTGCGTCCAGGTTGGTGCATCGTTTGCCGCCGCCCTGCGAAGCACTACTGCATTGAGACGAAGGATCCTGTTTGTTCCCACGCATGCAAGCATACCAACCTCTACCGCTTGAACAGCATCGATGCCTTCCTCCATCCGGCGGCGGAGAGGCAGACACCCGAACTACAGAAGGCCGTCGGGGTCGAGTGCGATGGGCGCAGTGGGGTACAGACCTCTTCGCCGACCCCCTCTCCGGCCAGCGATGGAGAGACAGAGCTGGAAGTCCGCGTCGAGGGACTCAGCATGGCCCCGCGTCCACACATCGGCCGACCAACGGGCGCATTGGAAAGGGAGATGATCATGAGCCTTCATCAACGGGTAAGAAACACCAGAGGGCACTGGGGAAGACGGTCACGGAAAGAGGGACAGACACACGCACGTACACACGTGCACAGGCGGACACGAACACGAATAAGCGGCATCCATGTACGTGTGTCCAGGACGCCCTCATGGTCTTCCAGTCCCTGTGCAAGCTTTCGATGAAAGACATCCCGGAACCACAACAGGCCTCAATTGGGATGGGCATGGGTTTGATGGCACCCACAACTCAGCCCGACCAGCGAATAGTTCGGTCGAAACGTCTGTCCCTCGAGCTGATTCTGTCCATGCTTCAGGTGAGGACACAGGTGGTGAGGTGCGTTTTGGTACGTTCTTGTGTCCGTGTCTCAGAACTCGGGACCTGTTTTCAAGAATTCCGAACGATTCTTGCAAGTGCTTAGGAATCTGCTTTGCTTCTCGTTAGTGAAGAACTCGGTGTCGCACATCCCTCGGGTGTTTGGCTTATCGCTTTCCATCTTTCTGGTAAGCTGGGGGGGCTGAATGCAGCTTCAAACCAAACTCTTGCTACTTCAGGACGTGAGATGTATGTCTCTATTTTCAGGTCCTCGTCGCTAACTTCAAAGTACCTTTGCTCCTCGTCGCTAACTTGATAATACCTTTGCCTTTTTTTTGGAATAGGACCACTTGCGGACCGAAATCGGAGTCTTTGTGGAACAGGTAAGAGTAGCCGAAATCTCTGCGCATTTCAATGTATTGCCGTTTATGATCTGCAGATATTCCGTAAGCTATGCCTATGCGGGAGAGAGCCCCCAGAGCCCCCTGATAGGTCAGAAACTTGAATGGTCTCTGGTTCAGTGAAGATTCTGGAGAGCGGCAACTCTTCTTTTGAGCACAAGCATCGCGTTCTTCAAGTTCGAAAACGAAACACGGAACGGCAGTGGTGGGAACGGCCCTCTGGTTCCTCCCCTTTCAGGTCTTTTACAAGCTCTGCACGGACGCGACTATAGCTCTGGAGCTCTTCCTCAACTGGGATGCTTGTGTGGGCGAGACCGACATTTTCGCGCGGCTTATCGAATGTCTTAGCAGGATTGCCCAGGTTTGAAAGGTGTTTTTTCTTGGGGGGGGGGGGGGGGCG